ATACATAAATACTTTTATGTAACTACATGCAGATTACATAGAATAGATATTCTAATAGATGTGGTGACCCGAAGGGTTGTCACGGCACGTTTGAATCACGTACAATGTAAACACGGCCTGGCGTACACGGCGCGCAATCAGACAGCAAACACGGATTTAATCAGACACCTTGTCGCTCATACCGTGTAGATATAGGTATTGTCCTGGTTACATTGGATTTTATAATTCAAACATTCGATGTAACCTTTGTTTTAATTTAAACCAACATATTTATTGGTTCTACGCATGTTTTTAGAAGAAAAACAATAGGCCTCCACATTTTCAGTAAATGACATCAATATTATTACATTGAAGTAATGTTTAGTCCGCTATTAAGTACTACTATCCATCATTCCTTGGAAGACGTGTACAAAATAGGGGCAACGAACTGTTGAGCGATGAAAATACGATTTATCAATCAAGATTACATTATAAGACTAAGTACAAAAATAAGAGATATTAAGAGTGAAATCTGCTCTGAGCTTTCAGATTCACGTTTTTGCCAACCTATGTGGCCTAACCTAACCTACTCGTTTTTATATATCCTTTACACTACATTTCCAAGAAAACACGCAGGTATTCTTATTAAGAAAAACCTTTCATTTTCACTCTCGTAAAATATAAGGAAAAGACGGAAAATGCTGATTGTTCTGTGTTCATACACGAAGTACGCCCATGATGTCATCACCACCTAATTTGTTATCTTGAAGCCCTGTCGCAGCGATAATGGAAACACGACTCACATCAAGCAAATCGCTGTAGCATCAGAATCTTATTTAATTGTAATAGGTACTATTTTGCAAACATGTACTGTAAGATGTGCTGGCGACTGTACACAATTATTCAAAGTTAAAGGAAATCCATGCCATAGATGACCCAGTAAATTGTTGACGATGGAATTCTAACGTTCAATGCAAAGCGTTTGCATACTTCTAAAACACAATAACTACTAGCATTTTCTTGACCTTACATATAAAAATAAACGAAAGAAGTTAAGTTTACTTTTGCAGACTATACCTACCAGACATTTTCATTATAGGCAACTAAAAGAAATCTCATAAATATTGAGATACGATGATGAATAAGTACTTAGTAACTACATTAGAAATACATTACTTAGTTCGACCGGTATGAAGGCAATTCAAGCTTGATAAGAATCTTATTTATTAGTAATAGGTGTTATTTTTCACAAAAAAGTGAAGTCTGATGTGCTGTTGACTGTACTTTGTTGAATTAAATAAGCTCGGCAAAAGTATTCCATAAAGGCTGAAGATCCAAGATTATGCTAATTTTCTTGTGCAAATTCACTTCAAGTTAGCAAAACATAATCGTTTCAGGTGGTTAAATGTTTCAAATGTAGCGGTTTTCAAGTTCGCTGGCGAAATTAATATTTTACCCATTAATTGCGAAGTGTTCACTTCATAAGTATTTAAGCCTGTAATTTTAGAGTAGGTATCTCAATTAAAAACTTGCTTGTAGAATTTCATAAGAAAAAGCTGTCTTGTTTTTCTCTTCAATGATTTGATTAAAAAGTTCTGGCAAACACGACGTTCCTTTTTCAGTTATTAATTTAACATTGTTAGAAACAAGTTTCATTACACAAATTGTTATGAAATTATATTATTTTCTATATAAACTTAATTCAATTCAATTCTTTGCTTCAAATGTTTGTTGTACAGATCAAGTTAAAAAACATGGTAGACCTTAAGTCAAAACATAGTATTTTATAGTTTTCAGTAGACCAGTTTATACAATAGATATAGTTTCGGAGATATGATTATTATGTATTTTTACGAATAGAAAAAAAAACTATTTGTAAAATACTTTTGCGACATTATTAGCCACAGTCATGCTACTTTGCAAAAGACTAGGTTTACCATCGTGCTACTTTGCATAATTCCATTTAAGTATTTTAACATTTCCATCTCACGTTCATTTAAATTATGCTAATAACCATGCGTAGCACGTCACAAAACTAATTCAAACCGCCCAAAGCTTTAAATCCTATAAATCCCTATTCCAATTGTGATCAAAAGTGATACCTTTAAACGTGTAGCAGTGCACACGGCCTTGAAATACCTAACCGGGTAACTGTAAAACGTATTTCCTGGCTTGTCGCCTCTCGCCGACAATTTCATTTTCCTAATAAATCTGCCCAGGAAAATCCCCGGGCAAAAATAATTGTACTACGAATAGGGTTGTCGCCTGGATAAATCCGGATCCGGACATGGGCTTTTACAAATCTATCTAAATAAATTTTGCCGGGTAACACCATTATTTTGTATGCTCGTTAATTTCTACTTTCGACCGATTTCGAGCTCTGATAAATAGATTATTTTGTAAAAATCTAAATTCAATAAGCACCGTAACAACTTTTTTTAAAGTTTCAATCTAGTTTCAACAACACTCTCTCAGATTTCTTGCAGAAATTTCACTTTTGTTGCGGAATACAACACCTATTCTACTACTTCATAAGATAGGAAAGATAGTGTTTAGTTTGATATGTCGTCGTCTGTAGGTACAAGAAGCGCTGAAAGTTGAGAAATCAAATCAATCAAATCAAATCGAGAAGCGAAAATTTACGTACTACAAATGCCACTGTATATGAACCTAAGAGTCCCAGATCCGCTCGCCACATTCCATGACCTATGTCTCACAGTGCACTTTTAGAGGCTGATATTAATCAAGAACATTTTATTAGTGTCCCTTATCGAAATGTCAGACCGAGTTGTCATACGAAACCGTTCCAATTCCCAAACCTAGCAACCCTAACCACGCACGTAGATAGCGAATAATCCGATTAGTGCGGTGCTGCACGATTTTCGCATTCATACTCGTGTGTCGAGCTCGTTAAAATGCCGAATTGGACAAACTCGGATTTGGAATTTTCAGCCCAGTTACCAAATGCATTATTGACTTGATAATTTTGAAGCAATATTTCCAACGCCGCGCCTTTGTTTGGTCACATTAAAGTATGTAGGTACCTCCCTAGAGTCACAAATAACAAACAAAAGGTTGTCAAAAGTAATGTAACTGTAACCAAAACAAAAGAAGCTTAGCACACCTGTAGAGAAACAGAATTCAAGTAAAAACGTAACGTAATCCCTTATTACTCCGTCTCAAGAAAGTCAAATTGAATGACGGTTCATGCGGTTGACGTTGGGAATATAACGTTACAGCTGACAGGGAATTTACATCTACGACTATAATTATACTAAAGAGGAAAGATTTGTATTTTTGTACGTGTGTATTGAATAGGCTCTGAAACTATTGGACGGATTTGGAAATTTCTTTCACAATTATTGGAATCAAATTTTTTGATAAATACCTGTCTAGTCTACCCATACGAAGCCGGTGAGGGAAACTAGTATAATAATACAAAACGATGGGTGCCTGGAATAAAGCCGCAATAGCCATAGCANGTCTATAACAATATAGAGGGAATGTAGATAGGATCTTGCTGGCGAAGCGTTTGATACGGAGTGGACTGTTCTTAATAATAATAGGTGTGTACATTCCAAACGAGAACGTTGGATGGAAGGGAAAATAGTTTAAATATCAACCGGCTAACCCAAAACCATAGTTCACGATACGTCTCTACAATCTCCGCACCAGCACACAAAAAGATCTTTTGTAAAACACCAAATGTGAAGGTACGAGCTAATTATTTTAATGAACACTGTCCGGACTCGAGTTACTTCGCATCTCGGAAAAGGCGAGGAAACGAGCCACATAGCAATTTTCTTTTCATTTGAACCAGCCGCATTCTGTCATGATGTTTTCATCATTTTAATTAAAAAACGGCCCAAACATCTGGGACCCGAAATATTAGGGACTTCTTTTTTGAAATAGGTACCTACTAATTCTAAAATGTCAACTTCAGTTTCAATAAACTGTTAAAAGGCCGCAATTAAATCGTGGATTTCACGTCAAAAAACGTAATAAAAATTGTGTTGTTATTAATGAGTATTTTCTATTACCTACTTCTGCCATGACGATTATTCTGCAATAATATACTCGCATATTAATTGTGTGAGCATCCCTTTATTCTGAAACCATCTGAAAAACATGAAATATTTAAGACACGCGGAAGTTGCCCCGGAGCTCAAAGCACAGCAAGACAATTTTTTGGAGTATTATTTCATTTCCTATCGCGTATATTAAAATATATACGCGATAGGAAATGAAATAATATAATACAACCTTTTGAAAAATATTCGTATTAAATTTAACCCTTTAAACAAGTCCGCATATTCTGTAATGTACCTTCATGAAACAATGGCAACATAATTAGACTGCAATTTTTTTACTGTCGTACGTTTGTCGAAAGAATTGACTCGTTTCTGTCCTTTCTTTATAAAGCTATCCCTGAAGTCTGAAGCAGTTATACCCAATCAATTTGATAGAGGGATTATTTAGATGAAATGTCGAAGAATTTGGGAAAGGAAGGGACTTCAATGAAATAAGATTTCTCTTTTATTGAGAGGCAAGCAAATACTTAACGACACATCAGTCCCTTAGGGTCGTGTGACGGAATATAAAGACGTCTTATCTAAATAAACATTCTATCGTTTCTTTCTTGTTGGGATGTAGAAATCAAAATTGCTCTTATATATTTTGTATGCGTAGCTATTTCAAACCTTTATTGAACTGACTCTAATTAAATCCACCACCTAGTCCCATTCATCTAAACTCAAGCACGCCTCTGGCTTAATCACCGATTCTTTAGTCAATGACCTCTTCGGCAGCCTCTAAAATGGCTCTACTAGTCCTAACTTTGTATAACCGTTATGATCTAATGTATAATTCGATAAATGTACCTTATCTACATTTTGTGTGGACCTTCGTCAAAGCTGCATCATTTTAATCATACGTCATGATCATCATTGATTAAGCTCACAGCACGGTCTATACTCACTGGTACACACATCTCTAAAGAATCTTAACTTCTAAACACTTACCTGGACTGCGGCGGCGCTTGCGACAGCAGCGAGCCCGAGCCGCGCTTGCTGAGCGGCGGACGGGGCGCCGAAGGCCGACGCTCGACCCCCGACGCGGATCGCGTCGCCGGCGCACCCTCAGCTGATAAAACCCGCGCAGACACTAGTGCCGCTTCGGGGCAGTGCTGTGGGAAAAAATGTTGTTAAAACTCAATACATAAATCTTTAGTAACTAAGTCTAAAGTCAAAATATTTTATCTGTTCCAGAGTTCTATGTGAACTCTTCACTCTCAATTCAATTTGCCGGGGATATTTCAGTCTAATCCGAAAGGTCACGGTTAGAATGGAACTGCGCTTGCAATACCTACATTGCAGCATCTTACATAGCGTGTCGCTCATCGTCTGTTTACATGGACTGCGAAAAGTAAACCTACATTTTTCGCATACCCATTTCAGAACGGCTGCGTAGGTATTTTATGGCCACTCTGTTCCATAACAGAATTAATTGCTTTTACAAAATACTTAAACCATTTTAAAGCATTTATTATAGAGCGCTATAGATTTATTTAACGGCTTTCCGTGTCAACAACGAAGATTTTCAGCTTTATCTATTTGCCTTCTATTTCTTTGAAAATACTTCAGTGTGCCTACCATGAGTTTACGTTAAGTGAGCTCGCTAGCGAATACGTCAAAAAATTCTATAAAGATTTTATTTCTTGAAAGTAGCCGCTAGGGGCGCTGCACAATATGTCATACATTTAAATGTCATTTTTTTTACGCAGTCGCTAGCGAGCACACCTAACGTAAACTCATGGTAGGCACACAGGTCAGTTTCGGCTAAGGATTTTATATTGTGGATGGCTTTGATTCTTTTCACTACTAATTCACAAAGTAAGTTTCAGTTTGTGAAAAGGTTTTCTTGAAAGAAAGTTGTGAAGTTAAACACTGAAAGTGGCGAGTTCTCTCGCCGCATTTAATCTGAACCTAACTTTGTAAGAAGATTAACTTGGTTGCCTTTCTTGACACATCAAAGAGCTTTAATAAAAGTGCTGCTGGACAAAGATTTATTCTAGTTTTATATCAAAAACCAACCGTTTCAAAGCTGTGGGTTTTGAAACGGTCTGAGCTGTGGGTTTGACATATTACTCATATTATGGTACGACACGCCAAGTATTTTTGGCATATTATTTAGGAGCCTTATTTTGCATCAAAACCTAAATTTGTTTTTCAAAGCTAAAACAAAGCTTCAGAAGGTGTGGAATAAAAGATAATGTAAACTAGATACTTATTAAAATATTTACAAAATATAAGTTTAATATTAATATTATAGAAATCTTATGTAACTTTAAATGTAGACTTAAATGAAGCAAGGGTCAATCAAAATGCGATAAAATGGAAAATTAAATCTTTTATGACTAAAGAAAATTTTCCGTCCCTTCTTCCACTTTGCTGGGCAACTTTCGTTGCTATTGTGCGAGGTTTTCTTTTGTGCAAACATAACTGTTTACGAACAATAAAATGTATTTTAAATTATTCAGCCTAAAGGCGAAATAATATGGAAAATAATAAACCTATGTATTTACGACTTGGGTACTTCTAAGTTTGTTTGCGTTATATGCCTTTTTTTCGTAGATTCTTAATGTAGTTACATAAGTCGATTTTCAGTAGTCAAAATGCAAAGTGCGCTTGACTGACATGCACATAAATGCCCCTTTACCTACTCATATGAAATTCTCAAAATATTAAGCAAATTTATTTCTTTGATAAAATAATATAAGTCGTATTTGTTTAATATGTGGCAAAATTGTTTTAATAGTTGGAACAATTTATATTTACTTCTGCATGTTTGTTTCTCAGAAACTCAGAAACGCTTAAAAAGCAAGCGCGAGGGCGGATAATCCGGCTCGCCCCGCTTAAAACGCTTTTACGCTCCACGTAAAGCTTCAATGATAATTGTATTTAAGCCCTTAGAGGTCGATCAAATTCAAATGTAGTAGGCGTAACCATCAACATTGTGTTACTGTTATTGTTACATGTTACGTTTTCCTAAAGTGAGAGCAGTAAAGGTGTTTATTATTATTATTTTTGGAGATTGAAGCTGTTCCATTAAGATGATGGGATGTGTGAATAGTTATTGTGTGTATGGACATAAAACTTGAGATTAATGCGGGATATGTTTATTTTATTTTTTTATCTATAACAGAAATATGGGGTTTCTAAATAATATTTTTTTATCATTTCTTTATTATTTTTCTTTATAATGTATTTACAATAATTCTACAAAGTACTTATTTAGTTAGTACGTTAGGTGTCGTTCAAAACCTAAATTGACTAGGTAATTATTTTCATTGCAATCTTGAATAAAATTCACCACTAACTTTATTTAACATTCTAAAATTCACCACTAAATTATACTAACATGAAATCCGTATTAGCAAACAATTCCAGCCTATAAAAATATCCACAAAACAAATCGAGTAGCTCTCGAAAACATCGTTTTTACGCAGTTGATTCCATAAATTGTTCCATTACACACAATACGGGGTAATTTCCCAAATGGCAAAGAAAGAATTCCATAAAGTGGTAGTAGTAGGTTATATAGACAGAATCCTTGGGGAATTTGGGTTTGCGTCTCAAAAATCCACAAAATTCCAGAATAACAATATTAAGCTAGTCAATATATCTCTGTCGATTTCAACTCGTCACCAGAAAAAAATATACCTTAAAACATCTCAGTAAATAGCATAGACAGGTAAGTATAATACGTATTTTCAAAGTAAACATCCCCTTCAGGTTTATCATAAACATAACTTTACCTTCAATTAATGAACTTCATGCTACTTTTGTTTCAGCAAAGCATCACAAATAGGTAAAATTCCACGTGCCGTCCCCGTGAAAAGGCTTGGAATAAAAAATAAACAAGGTGTCATCCAGTAAAAGCCGTTATTGGAGGCTTATTGTCCACACATCAGCCTGTCCAGCACAGCACTATAGAAACTGCCAGAACAATGCTGCTTCGGGGCACGTGTGAAAATTAATACAGGACTAAAATTAAACCTAATCCACTTCCATCACGCACGTAGAACAATAGAAATCTGTCTTATTTAGGCTACAGTAGGTAACGCAGAATTTCTTACGTTGCACAACGCAATCTAGTACACGTATTTTATTATGTATAGTGCAGAGTTTCCCATGTCTAATAGCTTGAGCAGACGACACAAATGGCCGTCATCTAGCTAAAAGCCGCCATTAGCACTTTATTATTCTGCACATCACAGGCCCATCTAGTTCAGTACGTGCATAGGTCAAGTTTACTACATTAGGCTATGCCCACAAGATTACGATTTTTCGTGAAAACCGTAACGATTTTGTGTAGAGAAGTGTTTACTCAAAATGCGTAAAAAATGTTTACTAACCAGAATCATAACCAATTCTGTAGCCGCAGCCTTAGATAGGCATAGAAAAAAATACGTTTTTTTTTAAAGATTTTTTTCTTGTTAGCATAACGACTGCTGTCTAAAACAAAGATGAACTAATTATATTACGTACGAGTAATACGAGTACGAATGTACCTATGTGGCAAGAAACTTTTCTTACCACGAAGAAAAAAATAAGTTACTTGTTGTAATCTTACACCTGAAGAAGAATGTCTACGACCTTTTTGATTTTAGCCGCGTCTCCTGAATACGTAAACAGAGAATCACTCTTTTGTTGTTTTTATAGGGTAGGTAGGTAGTTATAATACCTTCTCACGATAATATTTTATATGACTACCAAACCATACTTATATTGTTTATACTTACTACATAATTTTAATATTTCAGATTAATAAGTAGTGCTCATAGTTAGAGAAAAAGTATTAGGTATATCCATAATTATGAACCCTTTGCTCAAATAATGTGAAGCATTTTACTTTTAAAATCCTAATAAATTAAAGACAACAATATTAATCTACTCTTTGAGAACTTTTTACCTAAGTTCAGTCCACTCCTGAATTGGTTTATCCTCCTTGATTAACCTGGGTCAAATCCCTAGGCGATTAAGCGACTGAAGCTTACCTTAATTCAGCCGTAAGCCGATTTGTTAGCCCTGATTTTAACACGAAAACCCACACGAATCAACCTTAGATTAACATTATGAGGACGAATGCTCTCAGATTCTGTACGATTAGAGTCGATTATCTTGTAATAGAGGTTACGTGAATAAAGGTACAGCATGAGCTTTTTCATTAGGACTTACAACTACCATTATCACTTTTTATTAAAAACACTTTTATTTATCAAACGTAATGGTAATACTTTCTGGATGCCTATTCTGAAACAAAGGCGCGCGCGTACGGGTAGCTTTTTTGTCGCCGTGACAGTATTATCCGCGATAGTGGCAAAAGTCACCCGTGCGCGCGCGCCGTAAGTTATTCAACAGAAAATTAATCTTAGAGAAGGTAATCAAAGTTCGAAAAAGTCCAAAAGTAGTTTGTCACAATACTGATAAAATGTTTTCAAACCATGTCTCGAAAGCGTCACATTTCATGAATCGATGTAGGTACTGATCTGATCACCTCAAGATGACAGCTGACAGTTTCTGGATGAAAGAAGAAGAAATGAGGGCTTTAGGCGTTAGCTTGCATTAGCATTAGCTTGATGATAAATGACATTTTGAAGCGAAAGCTGCACGCTCAAAGCATAAGTCCAATTTGCGAAGTTGAGTATCCTACATTCAAACTTTTATCTACCTACCTTTATGAACGCTATCAAGCTTTTCCAATCCATTCTACTCGTATCCAAACTACTAACAACCTAAAGTGGAAAAATCCTTTGTTTGTGTACAGTTGAAACGACTGGAAAATTCTTTCAGTAAATAGCTGCATTCCCAAGTGTGCCGTAGCCTATTGTTTTATAGCGGAAAATGTACACAGTTTTCAGAGATACTACGGCATTGTGACAAACGAAATTCAAAGATTTTATCTTTATGCCTACAGCTTTGTGTGGTTTTTAGTGTTTCAGTAGACAAGTAAACAGTACACCTTAGGTATTACCAAAAACAACAATGACTTTTCATTGTAAACATGAGTTATCACCTATTTTTGCAAATAAAAAGAAAACAAACTAGACCACTCTTCTTAGTTTCGTTTATACATACCAAATTACGTGAAATTAATATGTTCAGGCAGTTTACGCGTAAAGAT